ACAGACTTGACAGCATACAGGCATCTGAACAGACAGATCTCCAAATGCATGCGGCGGGACTTACGCAACTTCAATACAGCTCGTATTGAAGAAGCGATCGAGCGGAACCAAGGCTCCAAAGTCTTTGCCAGAGATCTGTCTGCCAGAAAGAGCCAACTGTCAAAGCTGAAGACAGAGTGTGGCAGCATCGTTTCCGGGACACCTGAGATTTTGAGTGAGATTGAGAGGTTCTATGGGCAGCTGTACACATCATCGTTGGAGCCACACGCAAGTGTGAGTAACGATCCAAGAGCGAGTCTCATCCGACACTATTCCGAAGATATCCCGGATGTCAGTCTGAGCGAGATTAGGATGGCTCTCCAGCACCTTAAAAACGGTAAGGCCCCAGGCGAGGATGGAATTACAGCGGAGCTTCTGAAAGCGGGTGGAAGACCGGTACTTGAAGTCCTTCAGAAGCTCTTTAATTCCGTCCTCCATGGTGGCATTACACCGGAGGCGTGGAGCAGAAGTGCGGTGGTCTTGTTCTTCAAGAAAGGTGACAACGCTCTCTTGAAGAACTACAGACCGATTTCCCTTCTGAGCCGCGTCTACGTGCTGTTTTCGAGAGTCATTACGAATCGTCTCGCGCGCAGACTTGACGACTTCCAGCCTCCCGAACAAGCCGGTTTCCGAAAGGGCTTTAGCACCATAGACCACATACATACCCTTCGGCAAGTTGTACAGAAGTCCGAAGAGTACAATTTGCCACTATGTCTGGCGTATGTGGACTATGAGAAAGCCTTTGATTCCGTCGAAATTTGGGCGGTGCTGCAGTCCCTTCAGCGGTGCCAAGTTGACTGTCGGTATATCGAAGTGTTGAAGTGCTTGTACAGTAGGGCTACGATGGCTATCCGAGTACAGAACCAGAGTACGAAACCTATCCAATTGCAGAGAGGTGTAAGACAGGGTGACGTCATATCCCCGAAACTCTTCACCGCTGCATTGGAAGACGTTTTCAAGCTTCTGGACTGGAAAGGATACGGTATCAACATCAATGGCGAGTACATCACTCACCTTCGATTTGCCGACGATATAGTCCTTATGGCAGAATCGCTGGAGGACTTAAGCACTATGCTCAATGACCTCAATAGTGTTTCCCAACGGATAGGTCTTAAGATGAACATGGACAAAACTAAGATCATGTTTAATGTCCATGTCACACCTATGCCGGTAGTTGTTGGGAACACTAAGCTCGAAGTTGTTGACGAGTATGTTTACCTGGGACAAATAGTCCGACTGGGTAAGTCCAACTTCGACCGAGAGGTCAATCGACGGATTCAACTCGGCTGGGCAGCGTTCGGGAAGCTACGACACATCTTCTCGTCAGACATACCTCAAAACCTTAAAACGAAACTGTACAACCAGTGCGTGTTGCCAGTGATGACTTACGGAACTGAGACGTGGTCCTTCACTGCTGGCCGTATGAGGAAGCTCAAGGTTGCTCAGCGAGCTATGGAGAGGGCTATGCTCGGAGTTTCTCTGCGTGATAAACTTAGGAATGAGGATATCCGCAGTAGAACCAGAGTGACCGACATAGCCCAACGGATTAGTAAGCTGAAGTGGCAGTGGGCCGGCCATATAGCTCGAAGAACCGACAACCGATGGGGAAGAAAGGTTCTCGAGTGGCAGCCTCGTACCGGTAGGCGAAGTGTAGGGCGTCCCCCCACGAGATGGAGTGACGACCTGGTAAGACATGCAGGAAGTCGATGGATGCAGGTGGCTCAGGACCGTGTTTTGTGGCATTCTTTGGGGGAGGCCTATGTTCAGCAGTGGACTTGTGAAGGGCTGTAATGATGATGATGATGATGACTTTGGTAGACTTGGCTCGCTTGTTAATATAATGAAGCTTAACCCAAGCATACCCCTTGAAACTACTGTTAGCTCATAAAAGCGATAAAAATATTTATTTTGATAAAAATCAATTTGTTATTCAATATTAAAAACTATGATAAAAATTACTAAAACTAGTAACTTAATTATCATATAGTCCTACTCCCCGCAGTATCGTGCCGAGAACGCTGACTGCGTTTCCGCGTTGAGTGGCTATACTCAGCCTTTGAGCGACAAAAAAACAGCGCTCTTATCACCAGCAGCAACGACCAGTCGCGGATAGAGTTCCTTTAGGAACTTCACCGCACGTGGACGCCACGGACCGATAGTCTCTACAGCAAATGATACAAATATCTATGTAGTCATCTCACCGAGACTCATATTTGCGCCTCTTACTCAGTTCAGCTGCCTCTGATGCCGCCCCAGCTCTAAACAAGGTACCCCTGAGATGAGAGGCGGCCAAAGTATCCACGCAAGTAGAATCCCAGGCCAGGGCTTTACCTCTCTCCCAAGGGACCAATATCATACCATTGGGTATTTTACCATCGTCTCTAAATATTCCACAAAATATTCCGCTCTAAAACCGAGGGAACATTTATAGAGACAAGAGCCCTTGATGACATCGTTCAAAGAACCGTGCCGTGAAAACCAACCAGCACTTTTCTTACATGAACATCTGGGGAGCCAAACTTGTTGACGCTGCTACCACAGGGGCATTGATGAGGTCTGTTAACCGTAACTGTTTGATGCAGCAGTGCAGAGCAGTGGATAAGGCAAGCAAGGCATTTACATTTGTTAGGTTTAAAATACGTTTAATTCTAACACACTTGTTCCTTAGAATCTTAAATGAGATGCTCATTCATATATTCTTCCACTAATTGACATGAGCGTGAACGAGATGTTTATACCCTAAGATTTAGTATAAACTGAATATCTATGGTTACCACCATTCATCCATAGGCAGCCATAAGATTTTTTAGGTCTTTTCTATTATATTTCAACGTGGTAGAGCCATGCCGCAGCTATATTAATAGTATAGTTGTAGCACGAATGGGTCAGCTCGACCGGGGAAGGACCATGTTCTCACAGAATACCAGCGTAAAATAGCAGCTTAATGCTGCTGTGTTTCGTATGGTGAGTGTAGAGAACCGGAGACGCATTTTACTGGAAAAGAGGTATTCCACCTTAATCCTCACGGCTGATAACGCATCTGCATTTTGATTCGCAAACGAAGATAGATGTAGATGTCTATGGGCCACAGCAACCACTTACCATCAGGTGGACTGTGTGCTCGTTTGTCACCCTTATTCTATAAAAAAAATTGTAGCCAAGACCAAGTCCAAGACTGTATGGGATAATGGATTCACTAACGCCGCCGCCACGCGGCTCATATAATTGTTATGAAGAATTTATTAATATTTTTGAAACAAAAAGCATACATTCTACGGGAGATTTTTTAATTGGCCGTTAAAATATTGTTTTGTGAGTCACATTTTTAAACTTAAACGTGATATTTTTAAATATGTCTTAATCTCTAAAATAGGACCTAACATTTTCGGCAACTATTTTATATAGTATAGCACTGAAAATATTATAAAATTCTACCTAAGATGGCGTGAAAATTGAACTTTATCAAGTATAATAGAAATTAAATATAATGTACGAGACTATGGTTTAAAAAAAGGTTTATATTTAAATTCAATTTCTATCAATATGCCAATTCGAACCATGCCAACTCTGCTGACATAAATGTTACTCTAAATTTTAAGTTCTAATTTACAAAATGCTAACCGATAAAGAAAATGCATGGCTGAAATATATAATTACATTTATGACATAATATTATGCTATTTCAATTCTACAAAATGCACATTTAACATTTTATTTTTTATAACAATGCACATGTCACATTTTTATAAATATTTATATTTTTAATAATGATATTTTATTAATGGTCCACAGTCTAATAGTCTATATATAGGTCTAATAGTGAATATTACTGTTTAAAATGTAGTAACTAATTTTATTGTTTTAGAAGAAATAAAAAAATTACGTAATTATTTTATTTCATTAATATTTAATAAAAATAAAAATATTCGTATTATTAAAAATATGAGCTTAAAGTACTGTGGAAACTTACCGCTTGGTTAAGAGCTGGATGGAAAAATGGCGAACTGAATCAAAAACCTGGCATTTATATAGGGAGTACACCCTATGAAAATTGAAAACATCACCCCCTTCTTTAATATTCCCCGCGTAGGTTACTCTTATAAAAATGTGGTATTAAAATTGACGTATTTCAATTATTTTTAAAATAGTCATAAATTGAGTGATCTTGTTAGTGGTTGCAAATTATTTTTCGTAAGATTTGTTTTTCCCAAATGCGTATTTTATATTTTTAATGACTAAATTAATTCAATTGGTTCTATTCAGTTCGGATTTCTTAAAAAAGCAGTAGAACAAAATACAATGTACTTTTTTCTTTTCAGTATAGTTTTGTGTCTAAGGTTTTGTGTTGTATTCAAATATATAGTTAATATTATTATTACTTTTTTATTTAAGATTTTTGGCTTGAATGCTTGTCCTATAAGCCATATCTTCATTTATCTCAGTACAAGTGATATTTAATCCTTTATAGTACACTGTTTCACAATATGTTGATGCATCACATGGCGTGGTTTTTCGGAGAGTTTGACGGCAACTTAAGCCAGCAGACAGTTGGCAATAGAATTTATCTTAAGACGCCTAAGCAGACAGACACCTTATTTTGAGATTCATATCACCATCGGAGTACTTGTTTCACAGTTTTCACTAATAGTTCACATGCACAGACATTTAATACACTAAATCGAACCACTTTTACGTGTACGTTTTACAGTTCCCGCTAAACTCCCCTATAGTTAATAATAATTTTTTTCTACAACAGAATATAATTAATGCGCATATAAATAGCATTTAAATTAAAAAAAAAACATACAACATTTTTTTAAAAAACTATCTGCTCAATTAAAAAAATAAGTATTGTCTATTCCTTAAAAAACGTGTAAACTTTCCCGCGTTTTTATTTTAACTTTGTGATTTTGTGTTGGTGTCTGAGGTTGGTGTCTAAAACCTTAACCTTATTCCAGAAAATGGATGCTGGTTTAACGGAGTTCGAATCATTTGAACAGCAATTTACAGATGTTATTGGAGAATTGCAGTCAATTATTGTTAGTAAATATTTTGTGTATTTTCTTTTCATTTTTTCATCGGAGAATTAGTTTTGTGCACCTTGTATAGCTAAGTAGAGATGTTGGTGGTTAAAAAGGCTATACATTTAATATATAAATTTACTAAGGACTGACAAATAAAGATAGTATAAAGATTACATGCATAACTAAGAAAAAAGTCTAGAATATAATATGTAGCCCACTCAGGCAGCCCTTTGAAATATTATGTACTTTACCACGTGTTCGGCGGTGAAGGAAAACACCGTGAGGAAACCTGCTTAAAAAATACTTCGAAGACATGTGAAGTTCAACAGCACGCAATGGGGCAGCGCGGCGGACATTTCCTTGCCCTAAAACCTTCTCAGAAATGAGAGGAGGCCTGTGCCCAGCTGTGGGACGTATATAGGATTTTAGTTTTTTAAAAGTTTTACTAGAACATTATACCTCAACGATGTAGCAAACGTGGAATCAATGCGACTTTACTTAAAAGTCAGAAGACTTTCACTCTTATCACATTAAAAATTAAGCATTTAACTTTTTATTGATAAAGATTCTTTTTCATAAGGAAAATGATTGGCAAGATTTTCTTATTTTTGCCACGTTTGACTAGAAATTGCTAAGGTAATAAGTATATGCTAGCATCACTTGTTCCTTTTCTTCTTCATCATTTACTCGTAAAAAAAACTTGCACTCCTTCTTTATGGAAGATTTGCTCCAATCATGCTTGGCCGGTGGATAAATTGGCGATCGCTGTATCAAACATAACACACGTAAAAGGAATGTTATTAATACCATCTATCAGAAGCGCCACATGCAAGCTTTCGGGCACTTCCTATAGTCTCCTCTTTTGACACCCACGGGACGGAATGGAGTGGGGTGAGGTTAAGTAATAAGTAAATGAACCTTCCGCTGTGGGACACATACCTCCTCTAATTTTTGAGAGTGTACAGAGCAAAGAAGAATAAGTCACGCCCAACATCTTTTGACGTGTGTAATATTATATCCTTGTGTATTATAATATTACCCTACATCGTTGTAAAAACAATGTAGAATTGAATATTAGTTATTAGATTCGGGCTTACTAATACATAAAGAAATGGAATCAATACAATTTATACTTAAAAGAGAATGATGTAATTGAAGCAAAAATAAAACATATTATTTGATAAAAAATTGAGCGTAGACTTCCGAAGCTCGACTCCGTGATGAGATCCGTACGGAAGCAGCACGAGCCGAGGCAGCCGAAGCAGCTTGTGCCGCAGCAAAACGAGACGCTGCAGATTGTCGCGCCAACGCCTCCGCCGCTGCAGCTGGTGTCGCTCAGGCTTCTGCTGCACTAGCCGCCGCCCAGGATCAATTAAGCACATTCAAAATGAAACTTGAATTGGCGGTAAGTAAGGATAACAAGTACGCCTCCTTGCATCGATAGGGTATCGATATACTACAAACCATATCGAAGTAAGAAAGGCCTTCTTCCCTTTCCATTGGTCTAGTTGGACGTAAACACCGTTGCTGATCATGGGGTACCTTGTTGGAATCCTGGGAATGGCACAAATGAGTTATTGAGATTTTGTGTCAAGAAATTCTCAGTAGCAGCCCGGAGTCAGGAAATTGTCGGTCCCATGCCTCGGAAAATATATTCGTAAAGTATAATGTAAACCCACTGGTTCTGCGCCTAACCTCTTCCCGGTCGTGTCGGATTACCGTCCCATCGGACTTCAAGAGTGAGGAAATGAGAGTGCGCCTGTGCTTGCGCATACACTTGGACACTAATTATGTTCTGTGCAGAAGGCTAACCTCCGTTGAAACTGCCGTAACCGAAATTCGGCCTAGAGGACATTGTGCATAGATACCATTTTAGGTTGTAGTGAAACTTGTATCTGACAAACTGAAAATAATCGAATACATAGAAATTGTCAGAACACGACGACCTACGACGAGGTGCAGTGACTAAGATGCAATGCTTTGTAACGTACCTACCTATGAAATATTTATAACACCATAATTTGAAACAAATTATTCACTTATGCCTATTCAATTTTCATTTTGCTTTTGGTCGTAGGACTCTTTTCTGACTAGGATTCCGTCTGGGCAGGTTGTAGGTACAACCTCTTGCCTTTTTTGCTGCCTAATTGCAGCAATTCACTGCTATAGCGATGTTCCGGTCTGAAGATATAGAAAGCCAGTATAATTACAGGCTGTGAGACATTCCATCTCAGCCATGAGAGGGGACAAAGCATTTGTAGCTTACACTTTTGTAGTTTACATGGACTGCAGAAACCACTTACCATTAAGTGAACTGTAAGATAAAAAATGCTTATGTTTGGTTTTACTCGTAGCTATAAATACTGAATATAAAAATATTATGAGTGTTTAGTAAAATAAGTTTTTTCTTTATAGAATTAGGGTGACAAACGAGAACACAGGCCCATAGACATCTACATCTATTTTCGTTCGCGAATTAAAATGCAGATGCGTTGTCAGCCGTGAGGACTAAGATAGAATGCCTCTTTTCCAGTAAAATAGGTCTCCGGTTCTTTACACTCACCATACGAAACACAGCAGCATTAAGTTGCTATTTTACGCTGGTATTCTGTGAGAGCGTGGTCCTTTCCCGGTCGAACCGACCCATTCGTGCTACAATTATACTATTAATATAGCTGCAGCATGGCTCTACCACGTATAAAATATGTTATTTATAAATATTTTTTTTATTTATGTTTGTATTAGGAGCGTCAGCGTATTATTCTCGAAGAAAAATGTTGTGAAATGACTGAAAAAATAGGAATTTTAGAAAGAGAAGTTCAACAATTAAAACCCTTGCAATCAGCCCATGCCAATTTGCAGCGCCAGTACGTGGAGCTTGAAGGCCGCGTTCGTGTTGCAACTGAGGAGGCACGCAGGTCAGCGCTTGAATTTATAGTAAAAAAAAAACAATATTCAACACAGACGCCAACACCTCTTTGTAAATGATGAATAGTCCAGTCATGGCAGCCAGTCTCAATGGAGAATATCCACCTGCGCAGGATAGGATTATAGCGCATGACTGCACAAGTCTGTGTGTAAGCACAGCTGCAGTATCTATTCCTTCATCATAATCCAATCGGACGGCACGGCAATCCGACACGACCGGAGAGAGATCAGGCGCATAACACAAGAGAGAACGGCGTTTTACGTGCTACCTGAGATACAGAAGAGAACACCGCAAAATTCCTGACTACTGGCTTTTACAGAGAATTTGATGATAGGAAAACCGAATGACTAATTTTGGCCCAACCCTGGGAGCACATGATTAACAGTAACTAGACCAACTAGACAGATGAAATACTCCTAATATGTGTAATAAAACTAGTAATTTTATTTTTAATTAAACTAGTTAGATCACACACACTAGTCGAGCCCTCAAACTACACCAAAAGGTTGGTCTCAAAAAATGAGGAGTAAAGGATAATACATATAGTTGATCCTTAACACACTAAAACTTTATAAAATAGTGGTATCAATGGGCCGTTAACGGGTCAGTACGAATACATATTTTCATTATATATGTATTAAATCCCATTCATTAATTACAGCCTACCAAAGTCCACCGATGAACATAGGTCTCCCCCATTGGTTACATCGTAGAGGGCATATTTGCTACGCTAGGCAATCGTGTTGGAAACCGCAGTTTTTTATTATTTTGAGTTGTTACTTGGAAGATGTTGCAGCCCATTTTCTGTTTCATTTCTTTCTGTATGTTGTCTCTTACGACATCCAAGGTATGATAAGGGTAGGTGAACTCTCGCTACTTTATGATCAATCCGTCGATACAACTTACTGCTGTAAAATTATTAAGGAAGTCAGTTTAATATGCGTAAGAATATAAACATTATTTAAATCTTTGAGTACGAAGATCTTTCGGTGCGATTTTTTGTTTAAGAGTATAATATAATTAACCCACAAACCGAATGTAATAATAACATTATAGCTAAAATTTGTTGTTACACAAGCGGTTGTTCCGCTTTGGAGGCCACAACCTCCGTTGTTTATTCTTCGTTGGCCAACGTCCGGTACCATAATGAGTTACTTTCCATTTTCGTCTGAAACACGAATTTTACTTGCCCTTTGTAAATTAATATTAAGTTATCAATTCTATATTATTATCGTATGTGTTGTACTGTAACGCACGCACGCACGTACCCACGCAAGCACGCGCACACACACACACACACACACACACACACACACACACACACACACACACACACACACACACACACACACACACACACACACACACACACACACACACACACTATTCGGCTATATATATATATACCTAGTCAGGTCATAAATATTGTCACACAGTAAAAACTTTTCTTTTAGAATGCTGGCCACAAAAAAGTTTATTGAATTCGAATTTCGAATTGTTCATGAAAATAAAACTGTATACTTTTTAGAATAGTACTCATTTTTAAATATGGAGTTGACGCTTAAAGAAGACCGTGTTGCAGTTATTGCGTTGCATCGTTGCGGTTAGGCGCCAATTCAAATTTTTGACATACTGAAAAATTTGAATATAACCAAAAGATTCGTTTATCGTATCATCAAACGATACAATGAAGACTCTAGTGTAGATGACAGGTCAAGAAGTGGTCGCCCTCGGTCTGTTAGGACTCCAACAGTGATAAAAGCTGTGAAGAGGCGCGAATTCAAAGAAATCCCAAACTTAAGCAGAAACTGTTGGCCCTTCAGATGGGGTTAAGCAGAACCACGGTGTAAAGGGTGTTAAATGAATACTTAGGGCTTCGGGCATATCGAAGAAAAACAGGACATCGTTTGAATGCTCGTCTAATGGACCTGAGACTGAAGAGATGGCGCGCTTTGTTGAAGCGGTACGCGGGAAAAAAATATCGGGAAATTCTTTTTTCGGATGATAAAATTTTTACCGTAGAAGAGAGCTACAACAAACAATATGATAAGGTGTACGCACACAGTAGTGAAGAAGCGAGCAACCGTATTCCGCGTGTCCAACGAGGTCATTTTCCATCCTCGCTCATGGTATGGTTGGGAGTTTCTTATTGGGGCTTAACAGAGGTACATTTTTGTGAGAAAGGTGTAAAAACGAATGCAGTTGTGTATCAAAATACAGTCCTGACGAACCTTGTGGAACCTGTTTCTCATACCATGTTCAATAACAGGCACTGGGTATTCCAACAAGATTCGGCGCCAGCTCATAGAGCGAAGAGCACACAAGACTGGCTGGCGGCGCGTGAAATCGACTTCATCCGGCACGAAGATTGGCCCTCCTCCAGTCCAGATTTGAATCCGTTAGATTACAAGATATGGCAACTCTTGGAGGAAAAGGCGTGCTCAAAGCCTCATCCCAATTTGGAGTCACTCAAGACATCCTTGATTAAGGCAGCCGCCGATATTGACATGGACCTCGTTCGTGCTGCGATAGACGACTGGCCGCGCAGATTATTCGCGCGCCTGTATTCAAAATCACGGAAGTCATTTTGAATAAACTTTAGTGTCATAAGAATTTATGTTTTGTTAAGTTCATTTTGGTATATAAATGGTTACATAATGAATAAACTTGTTTCAATTATTTTATATTAAACATGTGACAGAATTTATGACCTGACTAGGTATATATATAGCCGAGTATATATATGTATATATATATATATATATATATATATATATATATATATATATATATATATATAGCTCAGTGCTTTTTCCCCATCCCAAGGGTGGCCAACGCGCCTAAAGAAGTTTTCACTTTAATGATTACAACAGTGAGGCAAATCGGCTGGAAAGTGAACTTCGTAGAGTGGAGCGTTGCGCGCGCGGCGGTGAGGAGGTGCGGGAGCGCGCGCGCCTGGCCGCCGCCGCGCACGCGCGTGAGCGCCGCCGCGCCGCCGCCGACCTGCTCCACGCCGCACACGAACTGCGCCGTGCCAACGGTAGCCATGCTCATCATATTTCTACCTCTCAATCACTCGTATTATTAAGTGCGTTGCTGGACGTTGGCGTTTCTAGAAATGCGTTAGCTGGCATGCACTTTATCTAAGATTTACCTGTACTCACTACGCTGCGCTGTGTCGATATGTGCAGAAATGCAGAACTGATACCCTCCCTGTAATAACGTGTAACGACTAGAATACAAGGATAGGTACTGAGTTATAGTACTTTCAATTTATTTTCGTACCTGTTTGTTTTTTTTTTTATTTTATTGATTTATTGTTAATATATATAATGGTAAGATGGTTGCAGCCGTCATATAAATATACTTGGTTCTATCCTTAGGAATATAACAGTATACCGTAACTTAGTTATATGAAAGTGGTTCATAACTGTCCTACTAGGAATATAACTATGATACGATCACAATCTAGTAATATAACTATCTTACTAGATTAATTTAGGGAAATAATTAAGTTTATGTTACAGTCAAAACTCATAAGCGGTCAAAATCAGGCAAAAGTAGTTTTCAATAAGGATGTTGGTCAATACCACTTTTAATTACTTTTGACTTATACCTACATTCTGAATTTTTTAAATAAAAAATTTCAATTCTTACAATATTATATTTCATATTATTATAATTGTTTCAATAGATTAGTTTAGTAAGATAGATTTATTACTAGATCGTGCTCGCATCATAGTTATATTCCCAGTAAGACAGTCAGGAACCGCAGTCAAGGATCCGCTGTCATATAACTATATTCCGGTATTATAGCTATATCCCTAGGGATATCATTATATCACGGCTTCAACCATCTTACTGCGACAAATATATTGGGCCGACCGTGTAGAGGCGGTGTAAGAATATCCAGTGTATAAATAAATGAATATGCATATTATGTTGTATGTTTGCCTTAAATAATCAAAATTGTATTAATACTAAATAAAAACACTCCACAGACTCTACCTTCTTTATCTACTTTCACTTTATTATTCTGTTTCTGTTTCTTCATTAACACTTTCATCAACGTCGCAATGATCTTCTGTTGGTCCCAAAAATTTTCGTACCCCGCCACCACAAAATACTTAGTTATTAAGTATTTACTTATACTAACACCTATGGTCTCTTATGTTGCCTGAACCAATAAATAAGAATAAATAAACGACTGTTTCTGTTAGAAAACAATACTCGTAAATATTATGTAGGTACATGTTATTTACGCAATCATTTTACAACAGTATGAATAATCTAGATTGATGATCTTAGTTTGCTATTATGGTGAAACGTGTTTAACAACACTATTGCGGTGACCAAACGAGAAAAATTAACTTTTACTTAAAAGTAAAAGCCCGCTTCAAACAACTTAAAACAATAAAATCATTTCACATTCTAAAGGTACGACTTCAGAATGTAAAATTATTTTATATTACGGTTTGAGGTCAGTTTTTACTTTTTTAAGTTTATTTAAGAACTTCATCTCCTATTTTTCCTACCGTTAAGGCTAAAATTTTTCTTAAAATTTTACTATTTAACTATTTAATAAAAAAAAATAATCATCAAAATCGGTTCGCAAGTGACGAAGAATTAACCTAACATACAAGTGCATACAAAAAAAACATACATTAGAATTGTTAACCTCGATTAAAAATACATAGTAAGAACGTTGATATACCCTTTTAATATATCAATGAGTAAGCATTGATTTTTTTCCTTGTGGATATTTTACTCACGACTTTACCACTAAAACTCAGATAATTATGAATTAAGACTATATGCTGTATGTGAATGTGTTCTTTCTCGATCAGTATCGGTGTTCACCAAGGCTCTGCACTCAGTGCAATATGGACTAATGTAGTTTTAGGTACTGTCATCCAGCTTCCTCTCGCATAGCGTATATTACATTGAAAAAAGGGACAGGGATAAACTGGCTACAAGTGAACATTCAAAAGCATGTATGTTTGAAAGTGGCCTGAAGTTTGAAAACGTATACATGAGATTTAAACAATTAAACTTTTAATAAAAAGTAAAAAACTGAATACAAAAACTCAAAGGAATAAAATAATTACTACATAGGCTTCTGAAGTCGGTACTAAGCCATAGTTTATGAAAACATTATAGCACCGACTTCAGAAGCTATCCAATGGAAATATTGCACAACGAAAATTGTAATAAAACATGAAGCAAACATTTTCTCGCATTAAATTCATAACGACACCCTACACACACTATCCAAATTACTAATTAGTAAAAACAAACGACGAACTTATTTAATACTTTTATATATTTTTATGCGTGGTAGAGCCATGCTGTGGCTATATTATCGCTGTAGTACAAATAGGTAGGCTTGACCGGATAAGGAACACGCTATCACTGAGTATCATCGTGAAGTTATAACTTAATTTCTAATGTTTAGTGAGTGTAGAAAACCCGAAACCCTTTTTACCGGAAACCAGGCATTATAACTTAGTCCCCTGGGATGACAACGCATTTGTATGTTGATTCATAATCTAGACAAAGTGTAGATATTTATGGACCACGACATCCACTAACTATCAGGTGGACAGTGTGCTCGTTTATCACCCTTACTATATAAAAAAGAGTTATTTTCCAAAATATATTTTTTTTAATCAGTTCTAATATGATGTGCAGCTTTAGCCTATAAAATTATTTTCTTTTAGGGGGGGGGGGGGGGGGAGACAGATGTTTGAGGTCCCGGTGTCACAGTTAGCCCGGCTACCTTCAGTTTTTAATATTAATTTTTGGTTCGATTTACGCAGAATGAACTTACTGTATCTTGAAGTCTATCAGTGGTATGCTTGGGTTTGGATTTAATTTTGGTAATTATAGGATCCCAAGCAGATGGCAGCACCCATCCATCTTGTCTATTGAAATTAGGATGTTTTTTAATTTCAATAGCCTCGCGTATCATCCTTGGTAGGAAACCGTGTTTTTTGCGATGATTTGTGGTCGATCAAATCTAATGTAATGGCGGGGACAATCTTGAACATGTTTACACACTGCAGCCTTCCCAGAGGGTCGGTGTTTCACGTCAGCTATATGTTCTTTCACGCGGGGGCGCGAAACATCGGGAATTAAAATAGTAAATTAAACGCGATAAAATCCGTAAAAATAGTTTTATTCAATGTGTAGTGTTCGCGTAAATATAAGAAATCATTATTCCTCTAACGTTACGAAATTCGCACAATTGATATCAACGGTTTTAGCAGTTTTAAGTTTCTGTCTGATTTAATTTGATCCGAGATGGTAAAAATGTTAAAAACAGTCACGAAGAATTTCATAAATTAGATTTTATCAAATACCTAATCGTATAATGTAAACATAAAGCAAATATCGTGTATACGTCAGTACACGATTAGTTTGTGGTCGTGTAATGACTGCATAACATATACTTTTACTTTATACTGTCCCGCGTGTTTTATAAGAATAATAATGTCCTCCAGACCGAATTTCGATCACGGCGACCAGTCTCAACGGAGACTAGCCGTCTGCGCAGAGAGACAGAAACAGGGTTATAGTACCCGAGTGTATGCACTAACATAGGTGCACTCTCTACTTTCTATTCCGACGCACAGGGGTGTAGCACCGCCAACTTCCTGACTCCGGGCTGCTATTGAGAATTCCTTTATATAAAAATCCAATAACCGATTTTGACCCGAGCCGCGATTTGAACCCAGGACATCATGATCAGCCACCGCGTTTACGACCACTAGACCAGCGAGGTAGCCGAATTTTTTTTATGGGATAGGGTGACAAACGAGCACACATTCCACCTGATGGTAAGTGGTTGCTGTGGCCCATAGAAATCTACATCTATCCTCGTTTGCGAATCAAATGCAGATGCGTTGTCACCCGTGAGGACTAAGATGGAATGCCTCTTTTCCAGTAAAACGGGTCTCCGGTTCTCTACACTCACCATACGAAACAGCAGTGCTAAGCTGCTATTTTACGCTGGTATTCTGTGCGAGCGTGGTCCTTCCCCGGTCGAGCCGACCTATTTGTGCTACAACTGTACTACTAATATAGCTGGAGCATGGCCCTACCACGAATTCTTAAGAAGCAACAAATTAAGCCAAAAGGACTTTTAGACTCCACAAATGTTGGATTTTTTTAATACATTATGACAAATTCAAACACCCGGAGCCCGGAGTAAAGGTAATTAAGCGACGGAATCCTAAGAACAAAGTTTGCTTTCCGGTATACTTCGATCGCCAACTATCTGCCAAAAGTGTAACGATTATTGGCGGTCTTCTTATGGATATTTTAAATATTCATTTGACAATCATAAATTTATAGCACAGGGGAGAGCGCTCATACTAACAACCCCTATGCAATTTTGACAATGACTGAGAGAGAGTGTCAGACCTAAAACCCATTTAGCGGGAGGGTACAAAGATTAACTACTGAAATAATTAATAAATTAATTTTTGCACAGAAACAGACAAATTAGAAAGATAGGTACATATATTAAGACCGCGGACTCTGTTTTTGGTATTAATGTAATGTATATATATTGCAGCTGAAATTGCCCGTCTCGGCTCTCTGGTATCAGAATTACAATGTCGTTTATCAGAATGTGAAAACAACTTGAAGCCTAAGATGAAGTCTTCAACCGATGGTGTTTTTGATACTTTAACCGAGATCCGCGCCGTTTTGGAAGCTGAAAGGGCTGGTGCAGCGAAGATAGAGCGGGCTCTTGCCGCTGCTTTGGCCGACAACGCCACTCTTGCAGCTCAAATTCACAAGAGAGACAATCCAGGCTCACACCAACCATCGCCATTGAAAGAGAATAATAGTACCACTAATACGAATATATGTCCCATTGACTCTTTTTTGTCATAATAATAAAAGTTTATGCATATTTAAGTTTATGTATACTATAGTCATAATATATGGTATGATCTACTGATCAGTATAGCTGATAATATTAAAAAATTAAAAATTCATTGCATTTTATTATTCATTATATGTGTACCTACCTATATAATGTAAAGCTTTGAAATAAAAGGAAACTACTAAACTTAACAATGAAGTAACATCAGAAACATATTATCTCGATTTAAAAACAGTTGCAAGCTTACATAAATACATACGAGTATATACATATAGACATATTTGTATAATGTGTGGGAGAACTTGACGGTTTTGACGTGGATTTAATATTCCAAACAGGTTTCTCAAATCAGACCTGTATATCTTCGCAAACCTTTTAGAGGTCGTCCTGGCGTTATTTAAATAATATAATTTTATTGCATGTTAGTGTGTCGAGTTTAGTGGATTAACGAAGTAGAATAGCAGAGCGAACGTGTTCGACGTTGGTTGACTGATACCTCCTATTACCTATGTTAAACATATTCCTAGAAATGGTTTACACGCGGAATAATGGGTCAGTAATCAGTAGGCTTAAGATTGTGGGATATTTGATTGACATTTTATGATTTTTATATAATAAATAAAAACACTTTCTAACAACAATACAAGAGACGCATGAGTTTTTGTTCATAAAACATATCAATTTTCTTATCCTATGGAATTCTTTAAGATCTGTGATGTATGTATGAAATTATGTTAATATTTTCAAAACTTCATTTTCGCTTTCCATTGAATGCATCATTGCTACGGTTATAAAAAAAATATGTGAGCCGAATAACTAATGGAATTCGTCGTAGAGCACAGTGCCATACAGCTCTTTTAAGATGTTACGCAATTCAGATGAGCTTGAACAAAGATGACGTCGTTTAGTGTAGGCAGTATTTCCTGTTAGAGGAGGGTCACAGCTATGTGCTGGAAGTAGTGTAGGTGCAACGAGGTAAGGAAGGTTTTCGCAAGGCTCTATGGCCCCCACCAGCGCGCACGCCGGCGCCGCGCCACTAGTTACGCTGCACCTCGCTTGGTCTGCGCGTGTCGTGTCGTCGCGCACCGCACTATTATTGTGCACTCGAAACAAACGATCTGTGATATAGTGTTAAGATTTTACTTAATAAATACAGAATATTTTTTTATATATTCCGTAGCTTTATGAAAGAATACAGTGGATAGTTCTGTGAAAGTGGGGTAAACAGTGTATACAAATAAAAGTTCCCTTAGGGAAACTTATATCTAGTGAATCTTTCAAACCACAGAACACTTACTCCTAGCGGAGTTTCCAACACAATAATAAAAGTGTGACGTCTGACAGTAAACAGTAAACACATTCTGCGTAAGTGTGTCATAAATTTACATAAATTTCGAAATTATTTATTTTCTATTTTAATTACAAATTGTAGCTATTTAGTATTATACCCTTATATTAATTGACTGAAATGTTTGAATGATAACAAAATATCGAGTTAACATGTATACACAAGTTATGAAACTTGAAAATGTCAATGCTAAGTTGAAATTACATTGTAGGAACTATTATAATAAAGGCTGTATTGACGCAAAAATATTGTTAACACAGTGAGTCAGAGAGGCTGAACCTGCGACACAAGGACGGTGAGCTCAACATACAGACACGGTAAACATGTGAAATTAATTGATACATTAATGTGATTGCTCACTGGCAGGTGCAAATTAAAGACAACAATAAAAAAACAAAAATACTTGAAAACAGTTGAACTATACTTAATAAATTACACAATACAATACACATAAAATACACACATACACATAAATATATATATATATATATATACATATATATGTATAGTCGTGCCTACATATATATAAGGTATGTTTACCATTTATGAGCAATATGGTTACCTTAAGCTTTGCCGCCTTATAAAACCAAAACTAGGAGGAGGACAGAGATAAATACACAATGTCGTATACTATAACTAATATAGAAAAAAAAACAAACAAGCCTTGGCAATAATTATCAATACTTCGAAAAATCAACTTAAAAAAAACTAAGTATAGTACGTGAGGGTAATATGATCATCCGGTTAATATGGTCACTTTCTTATAACTCAAAAACTACAGCGTCGTTTGCATAGAACGCTCTGTGATACGATAGCTCTTGATCAGTCTATCAAATAATTTAAAATTTAAAATTTTGAACTGCCGACTTCAATATAAGTTATTAAGAATAACTCAAAAACTATTGGTCTGACCTTGATCAAATTCATATGGAACCACACGAGAAGTACCAGCTTTCAAAAAAAAAAAGAATCATCGAAATCGGTTCACCCAATAAAAAGTTATGAGGTAATACACATAAAAAAATAAATATGTGTGTGTGTGTGTGTGTGTGTGTGTGTGTGTGTGTGTGTGTGTGTGTTTGTGTGGGTGCGTGCGTGCGTGCGTGCGTGCGTGCGTGCGTCGTGCCGAAATATGGTCGTATTTACGTAAATTAAAAAAAATCTTATACAACTATTGTGGAGGCGCTCCAACTTGTTGAGAAGATTTTGCAATAGGTCTGGATAGCACACAGCAGCATAATCAATAGTGGGAAGAATGAGGGAAATAACCAACATAAGCTTAGTTTATAAAAGGGCAAGAAATTGTTTAGACGATTACAGGGAACGCAGGGCAGCAACAACTTTACGGCTTATTTCAGAAATTTGCAATCCCCAGTTCATTGGTTTAGATCGTTTAGTTCATTAGAATAGAATAGAATAGAATAGAATGATTTTTATTCAATATGGATTATTACATAATACTTATTGAAAGTCATTATTTTATTTACTACTGGTTCGGAAAATACCTCTGTCCTGGGAAGAACCAGCAAGAAACCCAGCGGGACTTTTTTTTTTTAACATAATTTCACTTAACAATAATTTTGATTATACAATTTTAAATGAATTTTCATAGAACCAGCATGGTGGCGATCACCTTATTCCCAGGGGTTATTTTCATTCATGTATTCCTTGATATATATATTATATGATTATAATAACCCTTTTTGTACAGTTTTTCTTTAATAAAACTTTTAAACTTGTTTATTGACAAACTTTGAACATGTTCTGGGATTCTGTTGTAAAAGCGTATACATTGCCCCATAAATGAATTACTAATTCTGTGGAGTCTTGTAAGTGGCATTACAAGCTTATGTTTGTTCCTAGTGTTTAAGGTATGAACATCCTTATTCTTATTAAAGCTATTTATGTTTTTATGTACATACATTACATTTTCATAAATATATTGCGATGCCAAAGTTAATATGTTTATTTCTTTAAATTTTTCTCTAAGGGACTCTTTACAATTTAGATTATAAATCGCCCGTACGGCTCTCTTTTGCAAAACAAATATAGCTTCAATATCAGTCGCATTACCCCATAGCAAAATTCCATAAGACATTACGCTATGAAAGTAACTAAAATACACTAACCTAGCTGTCTCAACATCTGTGAGACTTCTAATCTTTCTTACAGCATATGCTGCAGAACTAAGTCTGCTTGCTAATTTAGATATATGGGGGCCCCATTGAAGTTTCGCGTCAATAGTAATACCGAGAAAAACAGTGGTATCCACAAGACTCAACTCCTCCCCATTTAAGAGCACATTGGTTTTCGAATGTTTTACATTAGGTATTGTAAATTTAATACATTTTGTCTTATTGCCGTTTAAGAGCAAATTGTTGGCGTTAAACCAATGTACTAGTTTCGATAGAGCATTATTTACATCGTCACATTTAATTGACTGCCGTTTCAGTTTGAAAATTAAAGAGGTATCGTCAGCAAATAATACTATATCGTGATTGTCCCCTACAAGATAAGGTAAGTCATTAATATAGATTAAGAACAGGAATGGGCCAAGAATCGAGCCCTGAGGAACGCCCATTGATACTACCGATCCGGAGGAACATTTACCATTAATGACGACTTTTTGAGTTCTGTTACTTAAATATGAAGTAATAAGTTTAAGCGCCAAATTTTTTACACCGTAATGTTGTAGTTTCCTGATTAATGTGTCATGATGAACACAATCGAAAGCCTTGGAAAGGTCACAGAAAATACCTAAGGCATCTTGTGAATTCTCCCAGGCATTAAAAATATATTTCATAAGCTCAACACCGGCGTCAGACATTAGTTCAGTTTATGTCTGTATGTGAAATAAAATGGGTTAATCATATAAATTTATAGTTGTAAAGCATCAGTCAAACTGATAGATATTTTATAAGGTCATAGTGAGACAATTTCAATACATTATGAGCAATTTTAATACGAAAGCGTTGCCAAACTCGATTCTAAAAAGCTCTACTAGTGTAAATTCGTCTATTATTAGTTGAACATTTTTAATTGTTATTAGTAATAAATTTTTTTTTTTTCTATTTTAAATTGAGTTAGGGAGGCAGAAAATGCATTACGCATACCACGATGGCCGGTCCATCGTGGTTATGAGGGACTCACTACCTACAAGGGGGAACCTAAGTGATACCCTCTAAAAACTGCCTTTGGGGACTGGCAACCAGCTGTTGAAAGCTTCACATGCCGTATCGTAAAGCGACCCTCTTTTGGGAAAAGAGGGCGCAGGCGGCTATAAGCCGCTGAGGGAGTGCCTGGGAAGGCAAATTAATTATGAATAACTTAATTAGAGTTGGCCTGAGCCGCCAGGAGGCAGTTCAGGTCGTTTGAAAGTTTATTAGGCGGGTCCGAGAGGGAGTTCCTCGGCCTGCGGACGCTATAGCGGGAGGGGAGTGGGGCTGCATAATTAGCAGCCTCACGAATAAAATGATTGGAATGCGACTCTGAGGCTTTGAAGAAGTTCTCAGAGAGTTTTTTAAGGAATTGTTGAATTGTAGGGAGCTCTAGGTCCCGATGAAGGTCGGCATTGCGGACGTACCAAGGTGCGTTCGCAGCTCGACGACAGAAAAGGTTTTGAACTACTTGGAGTTCATTAATAATTTTAGGGTTAGAGTG